ACTGTGCTGCCCACAGGAGGGAGTCAGGAGCTGGCCCTGTGTGGCCTTGAGCACCGAGGGGACCCCCTCTGGGCACCAGGAGAGCTAGACCAGCCTCTGCTCTGACCAGACGACCCACCACGATGAAGTCGAGTACGTCCGCTCTGTCAGGGGACAAAACTAAGACGGGCCCCGGGGTTCCCACCACGAGGTGACGGGCTTCCCAGGAGACCCACGGGGTGAACTGCAGTGCCGTCTGCGGGGCTGGCTCCGCCCCAGAGAGCCCACCTCTGCGTCTGCTTCTTGCTTAGAGGTGTCACTGTTGTGGGGCTGTCTCCCCAGGTGTGTTTTCATCCCCTCCCCCATCTTCTGTGGCCCCTTCCCTGTCCTCCTCACACTACCTCCCATCCCTCCCACCCCCATTGGCCAACCTTCGTAAAAAAAAAAAGTGTGTGTGTGTGTGTGTGTGTGTGTGCGCGCGCGCCCTGGGTTTTCAAAGTGTGTTTGTTGCTCACAGCCTCTGCAAAGGTTAAGAAACTTAAATAGGCCCAGCTGGTGTGGCTCAGTGGTTGAGCATGAGCCAGGAACCAGGAGGACACGGTTCGATTCCCGTCAGGACACAGGCCCAGGTTGTGGGCTCCATCCCCAGTGTGGGGTGTGCCCGAGGCAGCCGATCCATGATTCTCTCTCATCATCGATGTTTCTGTCTGTCCTTCTCCCTTCCTCTCTGACATCAATAGAAATATTTCTTTTAAAAAAATAAACAAATAGCATGAGAAACGAGGTCTTGTAGCTAAATAAGACCTGGGGCTGTGGGCGCGGAGGGAATGGGAGCAGCGGTCCTGTCAGGGCATCTCCTCCCACGGGGTCCTGTCCTGAGCCTGACCGACCGTGCCCTCCTGCGAGTCCAAGTGACACGGAAACGGTTCCGCTCTCGGTTTTGGACAAGACCCACATGGGCGGTGGAACTTGCCTCCGTTCCATGCTTAGAAGGAGGCGGAACATAAGTAAATTCATTTTTGAACTCAACATGCATCTGGGAAAAATGATCTCTGAGGCTTTTCAAACCAATTGCAAAGCCCAACTTCATTTGCTTTTAAGACTTTGAGCTGCCGTTCCCCGGGATCCGCCTCCGGTGCCGCAGGGTCAGCGCTGGCACCCCGTGATGTCGCCGTTCCCCAGGGTCTGCCTCCGGTGCCGCAGGGTCAGCGCTGGCACCGAGTGATGTCGCCGTTCCCCAGGGTCCGCCTCCGGTGCCGCAGGGTCAGGGCTGGCACCAAGTGATGTCCGTGTTCACGCCCCGTGTTGATGGGAGAGATGATCTGAGAGGGAACGTGAAGACTTGATCACTCGTCAGTCCTCTGCCTTCGGCTGCTGCTCCGCTGGGTGTTTTCAACTCTCCCTTTGGGGGAACCAGCGCACCTTCCAGGCCTTTCTGCACCCTTCCCACCCTCTCGGGTTCACAAAGAGGGGGCATCAAGGCCACGGTCTCTGGCTTCTCCTCGCTCCCCTGAGGCCTGTTCCAGCTCCCCTCCGGGTCTCCCCCGGGGGCCTCGCTCCAACCCACAGGCTGTCAGCCTCAGTGCCCGGACCTTGCTCGCGATTGGTGCATCCGCTGTCCTCTCTGCTGGAGGAAGTGAGGGCTGCCATGGAGGCTCCTGGAGGGGGCGGGGCAGGTGGCCC